GTAGGATAAAGAATTCTAATTTAAGTTATAGTCAAAGACATCCCATTATTTTGCCTGCCAAGAATAAGTTAACTGAACTTATATTTATTTATTTTCATGAAAAGGATTTTCATAATGGTCCACAATCACTATTAAATTCTATTAGAAGACAAATTTATTGGCCCATTAATGGCAGGAATATAGCTAGAAAGATAGTCCAAAGCTGCATAATTTGCTTTAAGGCAAAACCAATAATTTCTCAACAACTAATGGGAGAATTACCTAAAGAGAGAATTAATATTAACTTTACATTTAATTGTTGTGCTATTGATTACTGCGGACCATTTTTGATAAAGTACAAAGGGCAACGCAAGGGTAACTATCATAAGATATATGTTTGTATTTTTGTTTGTATGGTGACAAAAGCAATTCCATCTAGAGATTGTCAATGACTTAACCAGAAAGCATTCATTGCTTGTCTGAAGAGGTTCTTTGCCCGACGAGGTAAACCAAAAAAAATATTTAGTGACAATGCAAAAAAACTTTGTTAGTGCAAATACAGAAATAAAAAATTAATGAGTATTTTTCTAAAGCAGAATGGAACTTTAGCTACTTTTCTAGCTGAGGAAGGTATACAATGGAAGTTTATACCCCCAAGAACACCAAATTTTAATGGTCTATCTGAAGCAGGAGTAAAATCCTTTAAATTTCATTTTAAACGAACAGTAGGAAATTCAGTATTAACCTACGAAGAATTTTTGACAGTAACAGTTCAAGTAGAGGGAATCTTAAATTCTCGCCCTCTTACACCGTTAACTTCTAATATTGATGATTTAAATGTTTTGACCCCTGGTCATTTCCTTATAGGTCGACCGATCAATTCAATAATTGAACCCAATTTAACAGAAGTAGATAATAACAGACTTAGTTTATGGCAAAAAACTACAAAAATGGTACAAAATATATGGAAGAACTGGACTAATAATTACTTGAGCACTTTGATTCAAAGAAATAAATGGATGATTGCTAAACAAAATATTAAAATAGGGGATATGGTAGTGATCAAGGAAGAAAATCTTCCTACCTGCAAATGGTTGTTAGGGAGAATTGTAGATGTGTTTTATGGGAAGGACAACCTTTGTGCGAGTTGTCTCTGTCCAAAACCAAAAATGGTATTTATAAACGAGCAGTTACTAAAATTGCTGTACTGCCAATTGAGAAATAATGTACGAATTTTTTATGTTTATTTGAAGGTTTGAATTGTAATCCATCATATTTGTTCTTTTCACATTGTAATTACTTGTATTATAATTTGTGCATTAATTTACATTGTATCATTTTGTATTGTATGAACATTTATTACTTTTTTGAATTTTACTTATTGTATTGAAATTAATATTTCAACGCCGGGCGGGATGTTCGGTGTCTGAAAGAGTATTGCTTGGCAGCATTGTTTTACGCCAAGCAGAGTTTGGCTTTAGTGTAACCCTAAAGTTATTTCGTTTTTGCTGTATTAGTATGAATGATTTCTGACTTGATGTAAGAGCATATGGTTGCTCGCTCTTTAGCTAAGTTACATAGGTAACTATAGCACATGCGTGTGCTAGTATTCAATAATGTTGTTTTTGTTAAAATAAAATTGTTATTGTTAATATTACAGTCCACTTACTGAAGTTAAGTATCATTAAATAAGTTTGAGCTATCTTCGGCAAGAACAGACGCTACACTTCAGAGTTAGCCACTTTTCAGAATAGTACCTCAGGGTTTAGAGATGAATATAAGGTGTGTTCTGAGGTCTTGTTATGTTGAATTTTAACATGTTAGTGTTTTGATTGCAGGCGGTAGTGTTGAACACTTGTACATAGACACGCTCGTGTTTGGTGTTTTCGTTTACAACACATGTCAGAGAGCACGGGGAGATAATTAAATAACGTCATGAATGAAATAAGAATGTTAAAAGAGAAATATAAGTATTCATGTTACTTGCCATTTAATTGTGTAACATTTCATTAAACTAGTTTCCCTTCCAGATCTCTGGAAGGAACCAGATTTCAACTAAGAATCTCCTGTTTATAGATGCAGTACAGATGAAAAATCTTGTCCATGGAGTTGATAACGTAAAAACGACTTTTTTTAATTTCTAGTTTCTAGTGGGAAATGTTTGTAAAAGATTGGCCTCGCGTTAGATTCTAGAGCTAAAATTTTCCACAAGGTCGTTTTAGACCTCAGTTTCAAACTAATTAACTGTGGCGGGAAGTATGTAAGGATCCTAAGTTTTACTAACGTTTATTTTGTTTTAAATCTTTACTATCACTTCTTATTTTCTACTTCCGGCCAGAATTAAAAGCTTTAACTTATTTATGCAAATATGTCTTGCTAACGCCAAGTGCTTAAGTTGTGGCTTTTTGCCAAGCAAGAGAGAGAGGAAGGAGTTATTAGAAGCAGGCCACTTGCCATAGCAGTTTTACACGTTTGCTGGTTGCCTTCGAGGCCAGAGGTTTAATCCTCTTGATAAGTTTAAACATATCGTAGTTTTAGCAGCTCTCTGTACTACATACGGCTTTTTGTTAATTAACGGCCAATCTTAAAGTAGGCACTTGTATATTAATCCAAAGTTAGTTTAGTTAGAGTTTTAGTTGATATTTTTATATTCTTACGTTCAGACCACAAGTGGTTGGTCTCTGTATTCCGCAGTCCGGAAATCTCTGTAAAGATAGAAAAATAAAGGGTTTCGTATACCCTTCCTATGTGTATTGTCTACTTCACAATTTATTAAACATAGCTTTAGTAAGCTCCCTTTTCCGAGTCAGGACAGTTCATGTATCCAAGGCAAGTAAAGAGGAATACCAGTCCTGATATGACGATGCCATGGAACTCATTGTAACATACTCAAATTTATATGCTTCAGCTAAGGGCGTAAACCTAAGCTTGACAAACTCTGAATTGAAATGTTTCCTGGGGATTATATTTCTGAGTGGATATGTCTCAGTTCCTAGATGGCGCATGTTGTGGGAACAAAGAACCGATTCACAAAATGCCCTTGTTAGTAGTGCCATGAGACGTGACCGCTTTGAAACAATATTTTCAAATCTCCATGTTGCAGACAATGCAAATTTAGACCCACTTGACAAGTTTGCTAAATTACGACCTCTTATAAACAAACTAAATGAGCTGTGGCATGAAGTTTGTTCCGAATGAAACACATTTCAAGATTGATGAATCCATGGTTCCTTACTTTGGTCGACACAGATGCAAGCAATTTATAAGAGGAAAGCCTATTCCTTTTGGATACAAGCTTTGGTGTGCGGCAACTCGTCTAGGTTACATTTGTTGGTTCAAACCCTATCAAGGTAAAAATCTGGCAAATAAATATGAGGAGTATGGTGTTGATGCTTCTGTTGTCTTACAGTTTACGGATGCACTAACAGAGGAGCACCCTGGGCAATACCATTTTGTTTTTGATAAATTTTTCACAAGTATTGCCCTGCTTGATAAACTCGGTTCAATGGGTCATCAGGCAACAGGCACACTTAGAAAAGGTCGTATTGATAAACTACCATTGCAATCGGATGTTGCCCTAAAGAGAATGGAAAGAGGCTCATTCGATTATCGAGTTGATGGCAAAGGCAATATTGTCTTTAGATGGCATGACAACAGTGTTGTGACTGTTGCATCATCTGGTGCTGGTGTAAATCCACTGTGTCTTGTAAATGGTTATTCACAAGAATCAAAAATGAAAATCCAAGTTCAGCAGCCAAACATGATAAAAGAATATAACCAATTTATGGGAGGTGTGGATATAGCAGACAAAAATATTGACAAATATAGAGCATCAATTCGTGGAAAGAAATGGTATTCAAGTCCATTGTTGTTCTGTTTCGAATTGGCCTTACAAAATGCTTGGTAATTACAGAAAACGTATCATGCAAAAACCAATGGATCTTTTAGAATTTCGTCGTCGTGTAGCATGCCATTATCTTGAGACTCATGGTTATCCTGCAGAACCTGGCAGGAAAGGAAAACCCTCTCAGAAGCGAAACATTGATTCACGCTATGATGGCATAAATCATAGGATCGTAAAGCAAGGAAAGCAAACTCGTTGTGCTCAATATCATAAAAACACCACTTTTCGATGTGGAAAATGTAATGTGGCTTTACATGTTAAGTGTTCTTCCAATTACCATACCGAATAATGGGAATAACCACATTTTTAGAGGAAACCCACGATTTTATACATTGTAACATTATAGCAATGGTTTTGCCTAGTGTTTCATTTTTGGAACACTATATAACTTGTAAACTAATTAAAATTTAAAAAAAATTCTTCTTCAAATCATTGTTTATTATATTTTTTTTACCTAACATATAGAAATATCATGCAAAAATAACAATTTTTAACCTTCGGCATAAATGGGTTTTAAAGTCCACAGCCTTCGCATACAGGTAACCAGGTTGCTCGACGCTGGCTATAAAATCAATCTCAGGCGAACGGGCTAGATAAATGGTTTTTCTTGGTTTTCCTATGTGTGACGGGAATACGTGTTATATTTCCTTAGAAAATCCTGTACGAAGGCATGTTTAGGCAGACTGCCCTTTCATGCTTTGTCATATTAATGTAACCTAACCTAATGCGAATACAACGCGTCCCCTCGCTTAACAATGCCTAAATTGCAGAAAACTCTTCGCTAGGATTTAAGCACTCTTGGTCTTGCTTTAATATGCAAAATAGTCTGATCTGAGCGACATTTGTGTGCCATGCTTAAAAAAAAAAAGAGGGATTTTTAATAAGAGTTGTTAGTAAAATTTTACAGCAATTGTTACAAATCTCGTAAAATCTAAAATAGATTGTTTCTGAAAGTTAAATTGAAGTTAAGTGTTATTCTTTGGTTTGATGAGTATCAGCTTGCTTTGTTTCAGTGACAACTCTTAAGGTAATTTAAACCAGCGGTTTTCAAAGAGGAATTTAATCTAATATAACGAATGTATCAAAATAATTGAAGCAAGTTCCTTGGCAGTTGAATGTGCACATTTAATATTTTGGCCATTACGTCATTTAGCATCTCCCAGCCCTTAGTTGGTATTTTCTTTCTGGAACTTTGTAAAAGCAATATCAGTATTGTTTCGAAAATTATTGTTTACGATTTCCAAACATATTAACATTTTGTCCTGGAAATCCAAATGTAAATCTCTTCCAGATCACATCTGTGTTATACAAAAGGTTGCGAACTTGATAGTACTTGGTATCACAAACAAATACCATGTTCAAGTAAGCAGTAATGTTTAGCAAAACAATATCCAGTTACTCTTTTTTAAGATGCGCCAAAACTTTGAATAGAAGATGAGCTGGATATCTTCCATCCGATAAATTTGTAATATTATAAATTTCTTTAGACGGATATGCAGTAGTTTACACTTTCATTTAAGCAAAACATATTTTAAATAAATTTTAAGCAATTTTAACGAAAAAACGCACTATTGGCCCTTTTGCTCTGCAATGGTTTTGTTGAGGACAAAGTAAAATAGTAAAAACGTAGGTACAAAAGAAACAAAAATGGCTTGCTTTACATTTTACGAGACATAAACTCTATGGTTTCAAGGGAATTTAAATGAGATAAAAATTCTTTAAGAAGCAAAAAATTTCCATGTTTGTATTGCTATATTATTGACCAGCTTATATTTTTTAAATGCATTTTCTTACATAAATTACATGCACAGTTGCTTTTATAATTCGTCCGTAACACTCGTATTTATAATAAGTATTTATAATTCTTCCGTAACACTTGTAATTAAGAATACGAAACCTGAGTAAATTGATAGTGCGTGATGATTCATGTTTTGTTTCGACAATTGTTTTCTTAATTTCCTGTTAAGTCAAGCAGTCTCTCATTTAAATGGCAGGCAAATTAGTAGTTACGTCATTTATTCTTCGGCTTTCTAGTGTTCATTACACACACACACACACACACACACACACACACATATATATATATATATATACTTGCATTAATATATATATACTTGCATTAAGAGATCTGACTGCACAACATGGACCCAACTAAGCACTATTCATTCTGGCTTATACAGAATACAAAAGATCAAGAAGGAGAGCTTCTAAGTTTAATAAGAAACAAATGAGCGCTCAGAAAATCATAACGTTTAAGTGGTAAAAGCATTTTTGATTGTAAATTGTACACATACACATTTTGGGCGTTTGGGCCAAAATATTTAAAAACAGCTCATCTTTAGAATTTCCGACAGCCGATTAGGCAATTTATTTTCAGTATGTATTTTCTCTTTACCTACTTTTTAAAGCAACAGAAGTTTAGCATGTTTTACTGGAAGGAATAAAGTAATTAAGATTTTTGAAGTCAGAATTCCAATCTTATCTTATTTATTTCTTAAAAACAAAGCAATAATCTTCTACGAGCACTTCAAAAGAAATTAAATAGTGTAATTATTTTGGGACACTCGCTATATATCAAATAAGAAAAAAATATATAATTTGATTAACAGAAATGTTACCGAAATTTTATGTGCCTCATCGTTTGTAACCCGTCCCTTCTTACCCTGCTTTCTTAAATTTGTCGGAAATCAACGACAGTATAACGGAAAGCCGCAAAACGGAGAATGTAAAGCACCCTACTATGAAAAATAAAAAAAATAAAAAAAAAAAAATAAATAAAAAAATAAAAATGGTGGGGGAAAAAAGATTTTCCTTAAAAAATTTCATGACGCGCTACCATGTTATACATGTGTATGGAGTAATAAGAAAAGGATGAAAGTTGGATTGTTTGCGAAGTCGACTTTTCCTATAAGTCAAATATTTGAGTTTTTCCTCGGAAGATTGCACATAGCGTTTCCGGGTTCCGAATTTTGCGGTGACAAAGATGTTCTGGGAGGGAAATTTTGAGGGAACGAGTTTCCAGAATATTTATTCACTTTGGATGGGTATAAAAAAGGCATTTGCATGTGGCTTAATGTACATAAAAGGAAACGGCTCCAGAAAAATTAGCTGAAACAAATTTAAGTGAGGTAATGTCTAATCGCTTAAAATATGCGAATTTGAAAAGCTTTAAATTTAGTAGGATTCTATATTTTTATTCATATTACTATTACCTGAATGATTTTAAATATATATATCTCAAAAATATGAACATAAAACATTATGCCGGCACTGGATATGCTTGCAGAAGTGCAATGTCCAAAATCATATCAAAATTCCTCAGCTGACTTTGTTGAATTAATTTCTACATTATTACACTACTTTTCTAGAAGACAGGCAATAAATTTATATAGATTAAATTAAAGAAAAAAAAAAAGAAGAAAACATAAAAAAAATTCTGAACGCTTTTTTTCAGATTTTATTTTAAGTCTAAAGGGTCGTTTCTTCATTTACACACACGTACACGCTTTGAGCATTTGGGTTAAAATATTTAAAAACATCCTGTTTTTGGAATTTCCGATAGACAGACTTGTAGGCTGGAGATAGAAATGTTCTTTCCGTAAAGTGTTGCTATTGCTCATTTTCAAAACGTTGAGTTTGTTAACAAAAATTCGTTAAAGTTTTACAAAGTTTGAAATACAAAATAAAATATTTAAATCCAGCATATATTTAGAACTTCCTATAGACAGTCTCGCGCGCTGGAGATAAAAATGTTTCCCGCGTACAATATTGCCATTGCTCGCTTTGAATGAGTTTGTAAACAAATATTCGTTAAAGGCTTGCAAATTTGAAATACACAATAAATTATTTACATCCAGCCTATCTTTAGAATTTTCGATAGACAGTCTCGCGCGCTGGATATAAAAATATTTTCTCGCGCACAATGTTGCCATCACTCACCTTGAGTTTTTTAATCGAATATAGTTTTACAAAATATGAAATACGGAATAAAACAATATCGAAATCCAAAATTCCCCCCCCCCAAGTGCCCATATTCGGGTGCAGAATTACGTTATTTAAAATTTGATGGCTCTCGGTAAGGTTGCTTTTTCAGAATGCGAAACACATCCATACATTCATACTTCTTTATTCTTTAATTTATTTAAATATAATACAGGGTGACAATATTTAGTGGCAACAATTTGAAAAATGTTTCATAGTTTTATAATGATTCAGTGCAAAATCCCCTTTCGAGACTAACAGCCCTGTTGGGCTAACTCTTTTTGGGCTAAAAATTTGGTATTACAAGTTTGTATAAGTATTTATCAATACGTGTATTGTATTCGTTTGAATTCTGGAAAATGTATTCACATGCTTGTTTCGTAATTCTGTATATAACCAATTTAATTGCATTAATTACTCTTGTAAAAATGAATGCCTTAGATTGCATTGATGGCATATCATCTAAGTTATCAAATTATGAATATTCTTCAAATTAGTCTCAAATTTTTAGATGAAACTGATTGAACCACCGGAAAAATAGCTGTAAAAATTTCTATACTCTCTTTTATTAATTACTATAAAGAATTTTGCCTCCAGATGATGCTTATGGATTTGGATTATTTAGGGTGCGGCAGCTTTCATAGCGTAATTTGACTTGCGTAGCACAATGACATACTGCATGAATGCGCGCGAGCTCGTGCCGCATTCGTGTACTAATGAGCTGCCATTTCGAGTGTGACAGTGATATGGATCACTGGAGTGCACAGCATCGTGCCTTTGCTGCTGAAAGTTATTTCAAGAATAACTGCTGTGTTATTGCTACCCAGTGTATATTTCGGCAAGATTTCAACTTGGGTCGTTATGGGAAAGTTCCAGATGGACGGACCATTGCGACAGACATTTCCAGGTAGAGTAATTTCCCGTTTCGGTGACATTTCCTGGCCGCCTCGCTCACCTGATCTATCATGTGCCGACTTTGGGGGCACCTGAAGCAAGAAGGTTTCCGAACACGTTGTGCCACCATTCCTGAGTTGAAGGATCGCATCCGAACTGCCGTCGGCAATGTCGCAGGGAATACGTTACTCCGACTATGAACCCTACCGCAACCTACATTAGGTTTCTCTAATGTTTTCGTAAAATGCTCTTTGCATTCATTTGTGATTTCAGAAATATTTCAGTCATTAAACTTGGGGTTATATCAATAGGTTCGCCAGAGGAGGATACAACATTTAGATTAAGAAAAGGATTATCTATAATTAATTCTAAAAGCACTGTGGGAACTTTAGAGAAGCAGACAAAAAAACCTAATGCGCGAAATCTTAAGCATGAATTAATTGGCTTTACGAAACGTTTTTAACTCCATTTGCTAAAAACAT